AACGAAACTCTAACGAAGTTCACGAAGGAAAGAGTTAGTTTACTTCGTTAAGAAAATGGCGCCCGACGATATCGATGTTTCTAAATCTACTCGAGTGTTTAAATTGTGAATTAAAAGATGAAATGATTGAAGTAACTGTCCACCCGAAGCAATCTAAGAAAAATATTTCGGATAAGGCTGTACTAGCAACATTTGTATCTTCGATTTTAGAAACAGCCATTTAGTTCTAAACGAATCGTTCGAAAAGTCTAACGAAATAAGAATAACGATGACGTCATTCTCGTTTAACTCGTTCGACTTTACGAACGTGCCCACAAAATGCACGTATACACGCGCGCCATCTATCGTAGGATAAATGTACTATGCCAGAAACCTTCGCGGGAGTACTGTATATTAAAAAACTTCCCAAAGTTTCATGGCAATCGGATAAACAGTGTGGTAATGCATGAAGGACAGACACACAGACATACATTCATTTTTATATATATAGATGCAATATTATGCATTAATATTTTCTTATTAAAATTTAATTTCAATAAAAGTTTAATTTTAATTATTAAATTTCGTGTTACTTTTATGTTTTAAATGAGGTAATGGGTATATTGCTGGTAAAGCGGTTTATATGCAGGTAGATAAAAAAAGCCAATGACAGCCCGTTTCATTTGAAATGGACTGTCATTAGTTTTCATTGGGACCTGGGATCAATTCAGGCCATTAATTTTTCATGGACGATCTGTTTCGAATCTACTATGGTTCCTTTCCTCATCGCACGGCCTTCTTCATTGTGGGACTGGCCTGGTCGAACCCAGTATGGATACGGAAAGAAAGCCCTGTTAGTTAGGATGACCATCCGTCCCGATTTCCGGGGACAGTCCCCCCCTTTTTTTTGTTTGTTTCCTTCTGATTACTGTAATATTGTCGTCGCCCGCCTCAGTTTTTCCGCCAGATGACATGTCCAATGTCTTCGGTGTTTCCAGATAATTTTTTAAATGAAATGATCAATTTTTTGAAGAAATGTCAAAAAGGAGCCAAATTTTAAAACGAGAACGAGCGATTATTTATTGTGTCATCATCACAATGCCGGGCTGAAAGTTTTCGTCATAATATTCTAAAGTTTTTTTTACTAGTGTCTTGCCTCTGTACATCATACGTTTCCCGTTAGCAATAGAGTCGTGCAGGTCATCTAACTCCTTTTGGGGGAAAATTTTTGAATTGAAATAACATAACTTCTGGTATGCATCGGAATTTCGTATATAGTTAATTGGGGTTCCTGCCCCCAAGCTTTCAATATCTGGTCTTGATTTTCATGTATCTAACTCCATTCTTCAGATTAAGGAAGAACAGACGGATGGACGGACAATGGGAATTTATATGTCTATAATTTTTTCAAATTGCAGCTCAACAAAAGATATAACTAAAATGCGGCAAAAGTAAATAGCTATAAAGCCTTATTGGAGGAACGCTATTTGATTGAAGCAAACAAGCTCAATCAAAATTAAAATGTTTAGGTCTCAGTCATTCGTACGTACAGTACCCATTTGACAATACTTATACATGTAGGCTGCCACTGTGTTCTCTAAAAAGTGACGATTGACATGTGTCCCCGAATTTGCAGAAAAAAATCTAATCACTATCTTAGTGTCCACGAGGTGAAAATAACTTTAAAAAATTACGGGCTTAATAAGGAAATAAGTGAAAGTTTTAAAGTTGCACGGAAAATGTTGAGAATGTTTGTATTCAAATTCTAGTCATTTTAAAACTTACTCTGTGCCCTGTAGACATTAAGAAATTTTTTTTTTGTTCATTATGTGTTCCGCCAGGGCCACAATGGAGTGACTGGCGAAAGAAGAAATCAAATTACTCATGAAAAATCTTCGAGCATCGAACCTGAATCCCCAGATTAAAGGGATAATGCCCCCCTATCACCCAGCCATCGATATATATAGTTATTATATCTTTAAACCCTAGACTTTCATCTTTACGAGCGGTGTACTGTACATTTGTAATGTTAGTTATCTGTAATATCATATTTATATACAGTGTGTATTGTTATTTTTTTAATGCCATGTCTTGTATTGTATAGATCATTTACATGAATAGAATTTAGTTTATCATATTGAGCTTACGAAAAAATAATTATTCAAATTTAATTTATGACGGTTCGTTTAAAAACGGTTTTCCAAGAATTACATCAAATTAGCAGATTTTTACAGTATACCTTTCATATATGGACTTCTGTACTAAAGTTATATATTGTAAATGAAGAGAAACCAAATGAAAATCTGTCACGCTATCTAATAAGTGGTATATAAACAAAGAACCGAACGAAAACAAAATAATAACTATGAAGACTTAAGACGGCACTTCTCACTCCTCTACTTGCACCATGGTTTACCGCCATAGATTTGGCCGAGAACTTTTCAACCACAAAACTTCCTTAGTCACTTGCACAGTACTGATGAACTTCTGTACTCGACAGAGCAACACTATATTGTTTCCTGTTCCCCCAGTTGCTAAGGTATACACATACCCTATTGTGGATTTGCAATTGTCGGATAACTTTCCCAGTCTGGGGAAGTTATCCATTGTGTATCCTTGAAGTGTTGTTTTTCCAGGCATAAAACGCGGCTTATAGAGAACTTGCATGAACGTCATCTCACGTGATTAAGTCGTCATCGTTCCACCTCCTGCGACATATTTGTGCCCTGCTATTCGTGGAAGTGTTTATAGTTTGGTTTGTGTCTGAACGTTTATTACGTTTAAAAGATGGCAAAACATGCATTTTTACCAGGTTATTTAACAACTCTTACTGCTCGAGACGCCGACTGGACAAAAGTAAAATTGTAATGTGTGATGGAGTTGATCTGTACGTAGATGACTTAAGGTCGTTCGTAGAAGATCCTAGTTCATGGCCGAAGACAGAATATGGTGACAACTTATCTTAATAACCCTATTTTTAATTCTTAACTACGTGAAAACATACAAATTACTTGAAATTCACAATTTGTAACAACTGGGTTGATCCAAAGATTTTGGTGAATAGTTCGTCACACCTTTCTTACTTGTTAGCAAGATAACTTTAAGTACATTAAAACAAACTGTAGCACTAGGTCGTTGTATCGTTGTACTGACTAAAAATCCATCAACGAGTTGTTTAACTTTCTCGGCAACATTTAAAACTGCGTGTGGCGCTATCTGTTATGATATTTTACGTTAACAAGTTTTATATTTTTAATTATTATAAAATGACCAAAAAAACTTAATTTTGAGGGTACAGATGAGTTTTATAAAAATTGTAAAAGCTAATAACGAGTAAAATTGTCATTAAGTCCGACCATACTCGAGATATGACACACGATTCCTCCCCCTCTATTGCCCCATTAACCACCAAAATTTAATAGCATCAATCCCTTAATACACAAACCTCCACACAAAATTTAAGAAATTTTCGACAAAAGATACAGGAGTTAAAAAGTGTTAAGATTAATCATATTCGTTTTGTAAACCGCGCTAAGTTAAGTGTCATTTGTTCATTTTTTTTATGTCCGGTCATTGAAAGACCGCTCTGGATCGAGTGTCATTTGTATATACAAAAGGTAAAATGTTTACAAACTGAGTCTTTGTCTATTGTCTGATAAATGTATACTTTTTTTCGTCAATTGTTCACGATAGCAGATGTCTTTTGTGTAAGATCCAAGTCGGATGCTAGTTAATAAATGTTCTTGTAAATCTTATCTCGCCTTTTGATTTGTTCACGGTTACTAGAAATCACTACAATAAGCTTCAGAGGGTGAACAAAATTGTGGCTTCCCTCATACACACTAACATCCATACACGCAGAAAAAAAACCCCGACGTCCAAAAATGTAAAAATCTTGGTATCATGTTTTGACCAATCGCCATATTTTCCCT